GGGAGCGTGTCATAGGCTACTTTTCATTATCGATCGATATCGATTTTATCGATTTTTTGCAAGTAAAAGCTACGGGGTTGAAATTTGGCACAGGGGGTAACTGAAAACATGCTGGCACGAAAATACTATTGACGCCGGGCGGAGCCGGGTTTTCCAGAGTTTTGGATGAAACTACTATTGAGCGCGTACTCTAACGTCTCCGAGAAAAGGGAAGGGACCAAAAAGCAAATTCTTTTTTTGCAAGTTAAAAATTTTGAAAAAGCTTTAATACATGACTTAAGTCCCAACTGTGCCAATGAAATCGGCACCTAATCCCCTCCTCTATTGGAATACTCTTTAGTAGCGATGATGTGTCTCAATCTGTTATGCTCTTCGCTGTCCATTCGCTTTTGATCGATGGCAGTGTGCCACAATGTTGGCACCTCTCTTTAACATATCACTTTAGTTATGCCTAAGTAAACTACAGGTCATGCCACAAGCATGACCTGCTGTGATATGAGCAACTTTACAGCCTCGATGTGTGTATACCACTGTGTCACGCCCATCATATGTAGCATTTTCCACTGCATCCATGCAGGTCGTCTGACTCAATAAAGCTTTTAACTTAGGTGTTCCGTTAACACAGCGAAGCTACCTTACTCCATAGGCGCTATTCCGCCTAAGGCTACACTAAGCCACGGAAGCGTCGCATTTTGGTACATCGACCAAATGCGAAGACCGATCGCAGAAGCTGTTTCCCAGCCTCTACGCACAAGTTAAAAGGCTCAGCAAGAATCTCACGGATGTACTGCAAGAGTACGCATACACCGATGGAAGACCATACTTCCAGATAACGACGAACTTCGCCGGAGGATATGCGTCATCAATCTGCGCCAATATGCGCGAATAATCAGGGAAGTCGAAGCCGCCGTACAGTCACTACAAATGAGGACTGAAAAACTTCACCAAAGCGAGGAATCCATCGCCGTAAGGAAAGTGATGATAGAGGAAATGGAGGAGCTCGATAAAGAGTTAAGATTTCATGAAAAATATTGCTGATTCTCAGATTTTTATGTACAAAGTGCAATGCTGCATGTCGGAATATGAATTAGAAGTGGGGAAGAGAAAGTAGGAAGACTTTTACCGCGAGATGCACAAATAACAGCGATATTATCTCAATCGATAAGCCAACGATGAACGACGGAACGTTTGGAAACGATAATGAAAGTAATGAAGAGACTAATATTGATTCCAGGAATAATTTCAGCGCATTATGCTACATACATTATACTCAGGAGAAACCAAGAAAGAATTTGTGGAATCGTTATTTCGCACTTCAATAAAGATAGCTTCGATTATGCGACAAACGGAAAATCGGAGAATTTATCGCAGCTACAGTAAGAGGAAATAATGGAAAGAAGCAAAACGTTGAATAGCACTATCAATCAATATAACTACAAGATTTTCTCTGCTCATAACGAGGTGCCTTTGCAGGCCATAACGCTTCCGGCAACTAGTGAAGGTGAGATAGCTACCGCCTGATGGGCACCTCCCGTTTCCAAACAAGTATATTTTGCACAACGAGAATATCTCTGAACTCAAGTTTTCATCATCCTGCCATATTGAATGTACTAGTCACAACAACTTCATCGCCTGCTCATTCCAACCATCTACCTCCTGTCGTCGCCACGTCCGCTCATACTTCGTGGATGTCAGTACAGTCAAAGCGATACGCGCCGCTCACCAACGACCCTTGCGATATCTCCACGAAGGAATCAGTTTGATATATTTACATGTTACATTTATGCTTAATTTCATTCTTCTCATTTGTCTCGCCGGCTGGAGCATGCCAATCATATCGGCATCTTCTTGGTTGCTTGATATCTGCTGCCAAAGTACCGTAAAGATTATGCCATAAGCATGACCTGCTGTGATATATGTGTGTTTAGTGAACGGATGCACGCCAAGTTACTCGCTCCGCCTGTTATAGTCAGCATTCTACCATTGCACCCACGAGTGCTAGTCAATTGTTCATGAAGCTCTAACAGCTAATGTGTTCTGTATAACATAATCGCTTCAGG